GAGATTGTCCCGTGGAAAACCTTTCTAATGCCAGTTGTTTGCCCTGGCTTTCCCTGATCCCTTTCTCCTAGATGGAACGGCAGCGCCTGGCCCGAGAGAAGCAAATGAGAGAAGAGGCGGAGAGGACGAGGGACGAGCTGGAGAGGAGGTTGATGCAGTTAAAGGAAGAGGCAACGATGGCCAACGAGGCTCTGGTAGGTCTCTGGTAGGTCGTTTCCCGAGGCGCTGCAGCTGTTCCTTGCGCTTTTCCGCTGCTGAAGCGTTGCAGGAGGCACACTGTGTCTGTCCTGTGGCTGCTGGTGGACGGTGATCAGGAGGCTGGATGGAGCTGATTTCGTCCTGCTAGGTGGCTGCGGCAGGAGCACAGAGGAGGGTGATTTGGGACGGAGCCTGGGCGCATCCAGGTCTTGGCTGCAGGGGGCTGTAGCCTTCGATGGAAGGGAGAGACCGCCTGAGCCCTGGTGGCCCCGTGGAGCAGGCACTCTGGGCCCTGCTCCGGGTGCCGTAAGCGTGCCAAATGTCTCCCCAAACGGGCTTAACAGCTTCGTGTGCCTTAATTCTCAGATGAGGTCTGAAGAGACGGCAGACTTGCTGGCTGAGAAGGCTCAGATCACGGAGGAGGAGGCCAAGCTCCTGGCTCAGAAAGCAGCTGAGGCTGAACAGGAGATGCAGCGCATCAAAGCCACGGCCATCCGGACAGAGGAGGAGAAGCGGCTGATGGAACAGAAGGTGCTAGAGGCAGAGATGTTGGCACTGAAAATGGCGGAGGAGTCGGAGAGGAGGTCAGAGGGTACAACGTTGCCTCTGCTTTGCTTTCCAACCCCCTTCTGACTTAGCTGAAACACTGGCTCGTACCTTTAGTCCACCCATCCAACGGTTTGCAGGGAGCCCTTGGCCTCCCGTCCCCGGGCTCAGCTGGTTTCTCTCTCCATCTCGCTGTTTGCCACGGCTGGGCTGTCTCTGAGTGGGGAGCAGTGCCGGTAGAGCGGTGGTGGCTTTGATCTTTCCCTGGGTTGATCCTGGTCTCGCTGGAGCTGGAGACCCTTCTCTGAAGCCGACAGTGGAAGCCAGCTCTACTTTTGGGTGATTTCTGCAAACACTCACTGCATTCCACAAAGTATTTGACAACATAAATAACACTTTTGATTTATTTTTTTTTTTCCTTCTGGATGGTAGATCTACATTCCTTGTTCTCTCTTGATTCCTCCCTTTACCTCTCAGTTGTTTAGTTCTCCGTGCTAGCCATGAAGTCTGTTTCAGTTAGCCTCGAGGTCTCCCTAGCTCCTGGAGACCTTGCTTCTTGTTGAAGCTGCTGTTTGCATCCTCTTGATACCAGAGCCCAGGTCCCGGGGTGCGTTTGGTAGTGAGCAAGTAAAAGATCATTCTTGTTTCTTTCCAGCTGATTACTCCTTCCTGCGTGAGCTTGCTCGGTGTCAGCCTTTCTGCTTGGACGAACGCTGCCCTCTTCTATCTCTTCTATCTCTTCTTGCCGTGGTCTTTACCTCGTAAAATCTCCGCTCAGATTTCAGTCTGGCTTTCTCCTTGTGATTAGTCCTTGAGCCACAAGGGCAAACACTAGTTCTAGACTTGTTGGGCCCTGTGAGTAGGTCATGCTTTGCAGTCTTGGGTGCTTTTTTCCCTTTTTGAATGTAATAAATAATCAGTAGTAGAGGCTTACTCCTTGGAGAACTGCCCTTTTAGCTGTAAGTCTGAGCTTAACTTCTGAAGTTATTCTCCCCATTCTAGCCTCCTGGCATGCTTCTCCAACCCTCAGCCTTACTCCTTGATGCCCATGTCAGAGCTGCCCTTCTGTGGCTTGGATTTTTGTGCTAATTAAAACCTCCCACGTCCCAGTGGTTATGGCACTTCCCTTGCTCAACCGATTTCTTAGTTTAGGGCTTATTGCGGGACAAATCTCAACCTATTCCACACCTGCCCTGCTGCTCTGTCTTCTCATTCCTCTCTGCTTCCGTCTGATGTTTGCCATGTACTATTTTCCTCCGTAGGGCGAAGGAGGCTGAACAGCTAAAGCAAGACCTTCAGGAGGCTCGCGAGTCTGAGCGGAGGGCAAAGCAGAAGCTTTTGGAGATCACCAGCAAGTCATCCTACACAGTAAGAGCGATCCGTACCGTGGTTCCCGGTTCCCAGCCCGTAAACGTGCCCTTCTCCGTGCTGTTGGTGCAGGGGTACGAGCTGTCTCGTTGTGTTGCGTTTCTGAAACCCTTAGTGCTTCTCCTTTTCATCTGGCAGAGGATCGCTTTGGTCTTTCTTTCTTTTCCCTCCACCTACTCTGCTTCACACCGCGAGGGCAACCAGGCTGCTGGTGAAAAGTAGAGGCAGCAAATTTTAAACTGATTTAACAAACATGTCAGAGCTGTGCTTTGTTAGTGCGGGCGGAGTGTACCAGCTCAGCAGTAGCCTTTAAAATAAGATTAAATACTTCAAAACAGAGGATGTCATTATTTTTAGGGAGGATGAACATTGTTCAGAACGTGTACATTCATTGTTTGGGCATAAACTGGCCATTGTGCATCTGCGTGCTGGAAAAGAAACTTCCTTGAAGGGATATTATTCCATAATTGCCCATTAAGAGGTTCTCACACCTTGCTCTGAAGCATCTGGTCCTGGTTGCTGCCGGGGACCAAAACACCAGACTGAATGACCGTGGCTCCGAACCGTCTGGCCTCAACTCCTGTAATTGTGCTACAGGGTCTACAAAACCCATCAAAAGCGCTGCCCTCCCCACAGCTCGCACCTGCCACGGGCTGGCTGCCTCGCCGTCCTGAGGGGTGAAGGAGAAAGAGCTCAGCAGCTTCAGGAATAAAACTCGACAGACGTACGTGGGATTTATCAACCTATATGGTGCTGAACTTCCAGCGTGTGCCTGCAGGCTCCTTCCCACTCCCCTCCTCTGGAAACTCTTGAGGCCCGAATTGGGAGAGGGCTCGAGATGAAGTGCTTTTCATCCTGATTGTTCCCTGCAGAAATCTCTGGCAGCTTTGAAAAGTGGCAGTGATGGAAAACAGTCGGGTGCTCCTAGCGATGGGCCACTCAGGCTAGCTAGCTCCCTCAGAGCTTAATAAAGCTCAGCTTCAGAGCACTCTTTATTTTACAAGTCACTGGGATCCACTGGTTCTTTTAATTCCTGCCTCGTTTCTTCCTTCCCCTGCGGCCTCTCTACTCACTCTGCCTCCAGATGATTTCTCCGTCCCGCGCAGGGTGGGAGCCGGTGGGTGAGCGCGCCCCGCGGGAGGCGATAAGCCCAGGGCAGCCTGAGGGATGGAGCTGTTCGAAAAGCTGCTGCCAGGAGTTTCATGTCCCTCAGGTGAATGGCAGCTCTGAGGAACAGGGCGCGATTCCAGCTCCTCTCTTCCCTAATGAGGGCTAAGGCTGAGCTCTTTCTGTTTTGTTTTTTTTTATCGTGGTCCCAATACTCGTGCTGAGAGTCAGGCAGGATTTCCCTCTGGGGGAGCAAGGGCAGGAGAGGAAGTGAGGAGTGAATGGGTGTGTTGCAGAAAAGGCAAGAAGCAGTTAAATATTATTTTCTTTGTAACTTTCCCGTCTCCCATCCTGATTCTTTAAAGCTTGTTGTGGCATCTTCTTAGTCCTTGAAGCCGGAGCTGCTTTTGTGATGGCACTGGTAGGCGATGTGCGCAGAAAGAAGATGCGAATCTGAGTCTCGAGCCGTCAGGGCTGGGAGAACAATTCATTCTTTACTGACTCGGGCGGCAGCTACTCGCCTCCCCCATTGCCCTTCAGGTGGCCAGACTAAAGGTGATCCTCTCTTCCCTGATCCTCTTGAAGCAGTTGGGGGCTGCCTTGGGCTTGCCCGAGTTCTTGAGCGGCGAAGCCAAGAACAGGAGAAGCAATCCCCGCGGGGGAAGCCTTGGGACATGACTCGCTCTCGCCCGCTCTGCTCTCCAGAGGGATGAGTGCTGTCAGCCTGGGGCTTGCCTCTATTAACCGCAGGAAATTGCTTTAATGCAGTGACAGGGTTATGCGGTTTGTTCCAGGTGAGGAAACACATACGGGAGGAGGCCCACAGCCCCTTTATCACCCGGTGTCCCAGTGACACCCCGTGTCATTAAAAATCTCTGCACCTCGTGCAAGCCTCGCTCAGGTTTATTGCAGGTGGCAGGGAAATGCTTGGCTGCGGGTGTTAAGCCCGTGCTTTCGCCCTCAGCGCATTCTTTCTTTGCTCTTTCCTTTCTCTTTCTCACTGCTCCACGAATTTTTCCGTCCCTACGGGCAAGAGCGCCGCCGAGGAAGCGGCTGTGAGAACCCTGACAGGCTGGCAGCTGGGCTCGATGATTGCAGCAACTGAAATTCCTGCCCAACTGTTACTGCTGTTGTTTGGGTTGGTTGGGGTTTTTTTTTAAACAAAACTCAGGCTGAAAAAAAGCGCTAAAGGTTGTTTGAAGGCCAGCAGGCTGAATCTAGTGATCCTGGCACAGCAGAGATCGTAGGACATCACGCAGGACAGGGCTTTGCGAACCCCTGGGTGCCTTCCAGGGAAGGGACCTGGATGTCAGCGTGATGCGAGTATTTAAATCAGTGAAGTGCTTTGGCAAACCTTTCCTTGGAGACTGGAATTTAGGTACTCGCCTCTCCCTGTCCGCGCCTGCTCCAGAATTAATGCGGCTGCCGTCGCCGAGGGGAGGAAGAAATCGTGTTTCCTTGCCCTGGGAGTCTTGACTTACCCGTAACGCCCCGGCCAAGCCGAGTGACAACGGTTGCAGGTGCCACCTTGTTTATGCTTTGCGCTTGGCGTTTGCATTCCAGCCTTGCCTCTGCAGGACAAATGAAATGTCGTCCCTCTCAGGTTTGTCCAGCCCAAGAGCAAGTGAGGGACGAGCCCTGGGCTGTTTGTGAATTCCAGGCTGGCGGTGAGGGAGGAGGCAGGTTATTGTGCAGAGTAAATCTGTCACCGCCCCGGCGCTTGCTGTTCTCGTTGAAGCAGCGCTAGCTGCAAACAATCCCTGAAGGATCCTGAATTCGGGAGAAGTGAGGGAAAAGAAAGAACCAGCTTGAAGCTCAGGAGCTTGTTTCTTGGAGCAGGTAGCCCAGAACTGTCCCACCAGCTTTTGGGGTGTGCTGCCAGAGCGACCGGTCTCTGCAGTGCCATCCCCTCCATCTGGGCTGGTTTGGGCACATTGTTTTCATTCCAGGGACCCGCTTTAGAGCAAGAAGGAGCTTCTAGCAGAGAGCTGGGTGACCTTTTGGATTCTGGGCTGGGTTTCTCCTACCCGAAATGATGGCTGAGCACGCTGGCAGCGGTTCTGACTCAGATCCACGCGCACCGTCTGCCATCTGAAGCCACTCGCACCCTCCTTGACGTGCGCAGCTGCTCGCGACCTCAGCTAACGTATTGCAAGAAGCAGAGTGATGGCTTGAGTCAGGATGCTTTGCCTCTGCTGGTAATGAGCCCATTTATTAGAGGTGTGACAGAATTTTTGGCTGAGAAGGAGGGTCATTTTTTTTTTAAGGCGAGATAAAATCGCAGGACCCGACAACGTGTGACAGCGCAGGGAGATCACGGCTTTTGCAGGAGGAGGAAAGTTCCAAATCCTTGCCCAGGTGTTATCTCCTCATTTTCAACTGAATCTAGCGGCAGCTCCTAAACGCTCAGAGCTGTAAATTACTGGGAAGATAAAAATGTAGCCGTGAGTCTCCACGGACCTCACTGAAATCCCGAGTTAACCCGTGGGGTTACGTTGTTCTTCGCTCACGCTTTGAGGAGCCGTGGACTGCAGGACTCTGCTGTCAGGCAGGGCCTTGCATTGCCCTTGCACTTTTGAAATTGGATTTAATGTTAAAGAGCTGTCAGGAGTCTCCCGAGAGGCTCCTTCTGTACGACGACGTTTTAAGTGGCACAGCGGTGATAAAACCTAGATTTTACCGAGTTTTGGTCAATGTTTTGTCTCCCCTTTGTTGCTGCAAAGAGCAGGGTCCCAGGGGAGCGATAGCTCTGAATCAAAGAGCAAAACGGGGACGGAGCCAGGGGATCTTCAGGCTGATGAGGTGCTTGGGATGTGCCTCGGAGCTCGCGCCGTCTTCTGCTTTAAGAGCCCACCAGCTGAAAAACAGCCTCGTAGTCCCCTCTCCGCAAAGTTTGAGGCCGGTTCTGAGAAACAAGGTCGTGTTGCGTCAGGAATGCGCGTGCCCCTTTCCTTTCCCTGTGCAAATGATGAAATCCTTCCTCTTCACCTCCGCCGTGAGGTCGAATCACCCCGACTCTGAGAAGAGCTCATTGTTCCCGGTGTGAGTAGCCGATCGGGACCTTATTGTGGCATTAGTAGTGTACTGCCCGCTTCGGTGTTGCTCTCATCTCACCTCTGCATTACGAAAACATTCGCTGTAGGAACACTTCTGTGGCCAAAAGTGATTAATTTGTTCTCTCTCTCTCTCTAGCAGCCCATGAACTCAAGTACACCAGCGCTGCCTACCGACCTGCCAAGCTTCAACCTCATCAACGAGAGCCTGGCCTTTGACTTCAAGGATACGGACATGAAGAGGCTCTCGATGGAAATCGAGAAAGAGAAGTACGTGGCTCAAACTCCCCGCCTCGGTAGAACAAGCTGAGAGCAGCGTGGCTATCGCTGCGCCGAGCTCTCACACGCTTGCAGTTGTGTCCAGAGAATGGGAAGATTGCTGCTGGAGTGCGTGCTGAGGTCGTGCGTTCGGGTTTTAACCCCTTTTTTTTTCCTTGGGATCTGCGTCATGTTTATATATAAAAAAAGTGCGCGCAAGCAAGTTTGGATGTGATTATGGGCTTTGATCTTGTGTTTTCCTGAGGGTGTTCGGCGTAGCCTTCAAAATTACAAGTTTAGCCAAAATCAAAGCAGATCAGATTTTAATCTCTCTAGTAATAATGTGCTTTGTTCATTGATTGGGTAGGAGATCAAAGCTAGAAGGACTCTTGCCACCCCGCTCCGGCCAAAACTTCCCGGGGCTCGAACGAAATGCCCCGAATCCCAGAGGGTGGTTTATTTTGCCGCTGCTCACTACCCTCTCCCGCGCGTGAAATAAGACACTGTGAGAGACAGAGGTTAAAAACTTTTCCTAGAGCCAGAAGGAAAAAAGACAGAAGCTGAAAATAACAGGATAATTCCTGGTTCTGTACCCAGGTTGCTAACTAGGTCATCCCACTCTCCTAAAGCACGAAGAGCTCGGCTCTGCCAAGTGCTGAGAGCGATAGCGCCGTTTTGCTGACTTCTTCTCCGGGACCGTTCTCCTTCCGCGGGTGCTGAGAGATAAACCGCGTCGCGATGGATTTTGGCACTCTGCAAGGGTTCTTGTTAGCCTGCTGGTCCTTTGACCTGGGTCCCGGTGTTTAATCACAAGTACAAGGCTGGCGTGGTGTGATTTTTTTATTTTTTTTTTTTCCTGCAGTTAGGACCAAGTCCCGAGAACGGCTGGGCTCATGGGGTTGGGGTTTTTTTTGTTGTTGTTTCTTTCTTTTTTGGGGAGACATTTCTCTCTCCCAGGGATGCTTCGTGCCTCAAAAATACCTGATGTGTCGGGGGCAGTGCTTGCTCCCACGCGCTTTACGAGCTAAATCCCTCTAAACCATGAGAAGTCAGTACATCAGGGTCCTTCTTCACTGGAAGGATTCATGCCTTGATGTTTGTGAGCTGGGTTTGAGCGAGCCTGCAGCAGAGCAGAGCCGCAGCGACCGAAACTGTGTGACATTAACCTGTGTCGCGACGCAGGAGACTTAAAATGTCATCCAGCAGCTCCAGCTTGGCTTAATTTTTTTTTTTTTATAGTGAGGAAGCTTGCAGTGTTGTTCTGGGGTCAGCTGCCCGGGTCCTTTTTTTCAATAACCGTAGCTTACTGTGTGCTCCAAACTGTTATTGTCAGTTCCACACGCTAGAAATTATGAAAATGGGGTATTTCTGTTTGAATTCCATGCGGCTGGCCGGTGCTAACCCGGGACTTTTTTTTTTGTGTGTGTGCTAGGGTAGAGTACATGGAGAAGAGCAAGCACCTGCAGGAGCAGCTGAACGAGCTGAAGACAGAAATCGAGGCGCTGAAGCTGAAGGAGAGAGAGACAGCTCTGGATATATTGCACAACGAGAACGCCAGCCGAGGCAACAGCAAGCACAACACTATTAAAAAGGTATCGGAGGGCTCCAGTTTGTATCTGGCCTGATGAAATCCTTTAGAAACGACGACCAAATAACCCTTCCGCTCGGTTTAGCTTTCACACCGGTTGTTATAATAAACTTGTTTGATCTAGGCTTTCTTCCCCGGCTGCTTAGCTTCGAACCAGGGTGCAGAAAGTCTCAGCTTCTTGGTGGTCCTGGCTTATTTTTGCCACAACCGAGCCTTGTCTCTTCAGTGCTCTGTGAGGGGGATGCGAAGGTCTCGAGCTTCTTGCTGAGCCTTCACAAAAGCTGTCCGGGGATGCTCTTAGAAGGGATCTTTAACCCCAGTGACCCCAAGAACGGGAAAAGCCCTGCCTGCCTGTCGCAGCCGTCCCCTACAGGCAAAGAAGCAGCGCGGAGCTCATCTGGTGAATCATAAGGGCAGAGATACTCCTGACTTACAGGCTCCGAGTAGAAAAAGCCAAAAGCCTCGTTGCTCTCTGTCCTCAAGTAACCCTCAGCAGCTTCAAACAGTGCAGCTTCAACTACTAACAGCAAAGTCTGTCGCTGGCGGAGGGCAGAGGGTGCGAGAGGTCTGCTCGCTGTGCTGCGCACCCTGGAACCGCCCGCCCGGCGAAACGCGGCTGACATGAGTAACGGAGCCGAAAAGTTAGGGTGGCTGGCTCTTCTAACCTGGGGAGGTCACACCTGAAAGGTCACAACAAAAGCCCTTCCTTTATTTTTTTCACATCCCATCCTTTTCCTTTTCGCTTGAGCAGCTCGGCCGTTCTCCCAGCCGGGCTCTGCCTAACGAGGGGCTGGGGGCGCAGCCGTCATCGGCACGGTGGGACGTAACGCTCAGCCCCAGTTGCCTGCGAAGGCTTTTGTCCCCCCAAAGCCTTTCTGCCAGCAGCCGTCCTTGCGAAGGATTCGGGAATCTGTAGAGTAACCAGCACCAGGTTTTAAAACCAAATCCTTCTCTCTTGACTGCTCCCAGCTGACTAGGTTTGAAAGGATCGCTCCGTGCCAGCTTTAACGGCCGGGAGTTTCTGATCGCTGAATTGGGGCAGGAAAATGAATCTAGCGGGTCTCGTTTCCCGGTTTGCACCTGTTAGCCCTGAGCTATTCGAGGTCCTGTCCCACCAGAGTAGAAAATATAAAAATCTTCACAGGCCTTTTTGTCGTCGTAGAATCTGGAGGCTTTTCTGCTCCCGGTAGGTTTTTGTCTCGGTGCTCAGAGTCCTCAGTTTAAATGGAAAATGCCAAGATTTTCACTTCTGACAGAGACAAGGAGTTCACAGAGAGCCGCTGGGCTCATTTAAAGCAGGTGGCTGGGCAGTCATTTCGCTTTTTGTCAGGGCTCGTCGCTGGGATTGGGACCGTGTGTGGTCACGTTCGATTCCTTTGAAGCCCGGAGTCTTGTCCTGTCCCCTTGC